AAGAAAAAAATGTAAAAACATTATATATGTACCTCTCAAGGAGATTGTGGCCAATCGAAACCCGAATCGACTGCATCAACATCGTCGTAAAACCACATCTCGACATCCTCAATCGAGCTCCCACCATCATCATCATCATCGTCGTCATCACTACCCATCATCCCACCATTCTCGTCATACCAATCGTCATCGACAACATCCAAACTCTCCCCGGCCACAAAATCCCACGCCAAATAACCCGACGAGCCTGAAAGCTCCGAAAAAACATCGTAACAATCCACGACAACGGGCCCCACCACTCTCAACCCCTTGAACCCCTTCACGAACCCTTCCTCCAAATTCACGTCCCAACACCCTCGAACATCGAGCAACTCGAGCTTCTTGCAATGCTTGATGATCTCGACAACACTATGCGTTCGGACGAGCAAATAGGCGATCTCGAGTTGTCGGAGCCGAGGCATTGTGGCCGCCACCGCCAGAGCCTCGTCATCTTGAAACGGCTTCCCGACGACCTCCAAAGGGTGCATGACTCGCCGGAGGCTCGTCAGGGAGCGGCAAGCCCGGCCCACGGCCTCGAGCCCGCGGGCCCCAACCCGAATGCAGTAGCTGAGGTCGAGGGAGGTGAGGGACGAAAGAGAACAAGAGGCCCGCGCCATTATAGGGTCGGTTATCTCACTCCTTGGGAGGCGTAGGGCCCGCAGGGATTGAGCGCTTGTCGAGACAAATTTGTATAGAAAAATAAAATAAAATAAGGTGTTTTGATGAAATTTATAAAATGCCTAAGCCTAATCGTTCTTTTTGGTGATTGGAAAGGAAGTGTTAGAGTGTGAAATTTGTAATAAATGAAACAAAAGCAGGGTTGCAAAAAGCTTCGATTTTTATTGACATAAATCCCACTGGTCGAGATTATTAAGCATAAACGATACTACCCCGCAACTAAAATACTGATTATAAGAAACACCCTTTTTCTTAATGATCCCTAAATGAAACTAAATGAAAGCTGAAAATCACAACCGCAACAGATAAGGTTATTAAGTCTTACTGATTTGCAATGAACAAAAAGCTCTGCTCACTAGAGAGACCCGAAACAGAAAGTTTCCTCACCGAACCACAGCTTTTCGTGATCAGCAGTTGAAGCATTCGGTCGAGAATTTCGGGCTTGCATTCTCTGCTCCATTCCTCGATGTCTATCTCTTGCCAGCAGTAAGGCCCATTTACGGTTTTTCCCCACGCTTTGCAAACCCTTGGAACTACTGTTAGTATCTCAAGTAGTGGAAGATTCTTGAATATCAATCCGAGTGCATCGGGTATTAATTCGTCCCATTTTCGAAAATCATCACATCCCTCCATTTTCGTGTAGATTTCCTAAAAATAAATTGTTAAGGAAATTTTAGAAAAAGGGCTTAATAACAAGATGGTTTGCAAGAATCAAGGTTTAGATTAAAGTTGGAATTTTTGAAATTGGACCATAGATGGAATTCAAGAACCCCAAATTCGAATTCGTGACAGGAACACGGAGAAAATAAATAGATTCAAAAGCCGAAATTTAGTGCTGCCTAGTGAAAATTGTGAAATTGAGCTAAATCAAAGAACAAATCACCTCAGATAAAAGAACTTGAAAATTCCCACTCAATTTCCTACAAACCAGGCAATGACTATACACCTAATCCACCTCAATGTGAAGCACGTGAAAACCGCCGCAGATAAAGAACAATAACAGCGCAAAACAGACAGCCATAATTCAACAGCTACACAGACAGATAAAAAGGAGAAATCTTTGACAAGCTCAATTCAGACACAAACAGAAGGGCAACAAAATTAGCGCTTTCACAAGAAATTTGGCAGCAACAAATTAATTAACGAGTTCCAGATATTGAAATGCAGATAAAAGAGCAAAATTTTGGATTTTTCCATATTCATCAGGGGTCCAAATAACAAAAAAGGGGGGAAATTAAGAGAAAGGGATAGTAGAGAGCAGGAAAAAAGTTACCCAAGCTTTTTTCTGCAGTATTCTTGTAAGTTGGATCTATGAAATTGAAAAGGCACACACCGTTTTTTATCCGCCTGAATTGAAGGGTTCTTGAGAGTACATTCTCTTGTTCACATNGAAAAAAAAAAAAAAAAGTGAAAAAAGTTGTCAGAAGAAAACAAGAGAAGAAGTAAACCAGTCTTATGCCGTGTTTACATTTCTCACCGATGAATGATATCAAGAATCAAGATTCCTTTTTCCCTTATAATTTGTTGTTTTTTGTTTTTTGTTTTCATTCGTATTCAGTTATTCTTCCCTGCCTTCAAAGTTCAAACTTTCACCACTTTGCATTTTCGTTTTCACATTTGATATTTGTATTTTGAAGAAAAGTACTTTTATTCACATTGAATTTTCTATTGTTGGATTCGTCTGAGTATATGTATATGCATGTGTTGATTCAATAATAAAAAAATATTATATAATTCTAGTGCAGTCATTCGTGTGCGGTATGAACCAAAATTGTTGACTATGCAAAATGTATGATAAATATAATTAGTTGTTTTACAATAATCTCTCCCAAAAATCTTTTATTTTGACAATTTTTGAAATTGATTTTTTAAATTTTAAAACTATTTCAACCAGCTATTTTACCAACAATTAAATACTGTGACAAGTCTAAGTTGAGTCACAAAACACTAAATTATCAAAGAAGTTCGTTATCATATTTGAAAATTGAAATGACTTTATTTTACGTATAACTTCAAGAAGCGTCAATAATAAGTTGAGAAAAATACTTTTAAACAGACATATTTAAAGGGTTGCTAATAACATGTAAAATATATTTATCCGATCATGTACTTTTGTTTCTAATTAAACCCATGCATTGTTTCAAAATTAATTAAATAAATATATTATCAATTATCTTTGATTCATCATACAGGCATTTCTCGGACTAGCGCTCGAAACTAAATTCTCAAGTCAATTGACAGAAAGTGGGAGAAAATTGGTGCTGGTCCACTACCATGAAGGACACCATGAAAGAAGGGAAAAGCCCATATGAAGCCCAAATGGGGTTCCATCCCAAAACTAATTGGTGGAAGGAGGAGTAGCCCATTAGTCTTATAAGGTGGGTCTATTTTCCATATATGAACGATGTGGGACAACTCACAAGTGATATTCTAACACGCCCCCTCACTTGTGAGTCCTTCGAAAGCCCAAGCCCAACTGGGCTGGGTGCCCCAAGCCCTACTACAAACAGGCTCCCATAAACGGGTACGTGGGGGATAAACAATGGGTACGCCATCACACGGTCCAAGATAAAACCGGCTCTGATACCATGACAAATGGGAGTTGACGGGTGCGGTCTAACGGATGAAGCGCACCGAAGCAGGGAAGCCCATATGGAGCCCAAGTGAGGTTCCATCACTAAACCAATTGGTGGAAGGAGGAGTAGCCCATTAGTCTTATAAGATGAGTCTATTTTTCATATATGAACGATGTGGGACAACTCACAAGTGATATTCTAACACGCCCCCTCACTTGTGAGTCCTTCGAAAGCCCAAGCCCAACTGGGCTGGGTGCCCCCAAGCCCTACTACAAACAGGCTCCCATAAACGGGTACGTGGGGGATAAACAATGGGTACGTCATCACACGGTCCAAGATAGAACCGGCTCTGCTACCATGACAGAAACTGGGGGAAAATTGGTGCTGGCCCACTACCATGAAGGACACCATGAAAGAAGGGAAAAGCCCATATGAAGCCCAAATGGGGTTCAATCCCAAAACCAATTGGTGGAAGGAGGAGTAGCCCATTAGTCTTATAAGGTGGGTCTATTTTCCATATATGAACGATGTGGGACAACTCTCAAGTGATATTCTAACATCAATTATGCAGAAAATATAAAAATAAAAATAAAGACATTGGTTTTACCTTGGCTTTTGGCTTTTGGCTTTTGGAATTTTATTTTATTTAGGGTATTACAACAATTATGTTATGCATTCATGATTACTATTTTGTGCACTACTTGTTCATATTTTGACTTATGAACGTTGTGTTATTGATGTAGGGAAGCGTACGAGTGGGAAAGATAAACGAGATATTCTCTCGATAAAACCAAACAAATCTTATTTCAATTCAAAATCAATCAAAACTAAATTAAACTAGAGGAAGACTTTTATATAAGGCCGCTAATCCTAAAACCTAATTTGATCACCAGGAAAGCTACTAAATATTTAAATACTAAAATAATAATAATAACTATCCTGCTTCATTCTCCTCCGGTTCGGAAGGCTTCGCCATTGAAGCCGCACCAAACGTGCTGACACCGGAGTCGTACCCATGGCAATCATCGTCCGACGTTTCCCCCTATCGATCACGAAGGTTGAATGTCTCCAACGTCCACTCTAGCTGACCCACACAACATAGGACCCCTACTTCCGCACCAAACACCCTCGGGCATCATAAAACTGATAAATTCAATACCACTCGAATGGTCAATAACTTGAAAGTAATTGTCATGACGTGTTAGAATCACCCCATCGTCATCTTCCATTGCTTGTGCCAGTTCAATTGCACTTTGCTTAACCTCAGGACATAGCATACAAATAATTGCATCTACCATCTTGTGAAGTGAAAAATCCTTGACTAGAATTGGAGCAAAACCTACGCCCCTGGCATGCACACTCTCTCCCCAAAAAGGTTGATTACAGTCTTTGTTGGTGTTGCTGTAAAGAGAATTACGCTCCACAATGAAATCCTCCGGCCCCGAAGGCTCCTTATCAAAGATCGGCGGACCATCGTAAAGACCGTCCACTTTGCTGGTAAGACGCTCCTCCACCTCCTCAGGTCCTTCATCAAACACAGGCGGACCATTGTACAATGGCCCATCAACTTGCTCTCCGTCTAATTCGGAGATGTCAATACGAAACGGGCCCTCCCATTGACCATATTCGCGATCAAGTCTCCAATCGTGTCGGGTACAATATCCGCAGTCGAAGGCAGCCTCCTCGCGTCTGCCTCTGTCATCGCATTGATCGTCGTCCACGAAGACTGGGTCTCGCCGCATGTCACGGTCGTCGTATGTAGCAAAGGGGTCAGCCTCGACGTGCGGGGTTGGAAAATCGTCGAAGGGATTCACCTCCGAGACTGTCTCCTCGGCATCTTCGTTGCCGGACAGTGGTTGTGGAGATCCCTAGCGGGGCGCCCCGCCTGGACCACGGCAACGTCCTCCGTGAATTCCCCCGCACACGCTCCGGTTGCCGGCGTCACAGTACGTTTGCTTGTCCCGAACCATGGTAAGGATAGTTAGACGTATGTCCCCGATCTCCGCGGACAGATCTGCAATCTGACGACCCATCATCTCGAGCTCGCGGCCAAACCGCTCGGTTTGGCGGCTCATGTTGTAGATGGCGGCGACACGCCTGTCGTTTGCAGCATCTTGTCTTCGCGACAACATCGTGAATCGTGCTGACTTCTGATACCAACTGATGTAGGAAAGCGTACGAGTGAGAAATATAAACGAGATATTCTCTCGATAAAACTAAACAAATCTTATTTCAATTCAAAATCAACCAACTAAATTAAACTGGAGGGGGTCCTTTATATAAGACCCCTAATCTTAAGACCTAACTTGATCACCAAGAAAGCTACTAAATATTTAAATACTAAAATAATAATAATAACTATCTGCATCAGTTATACAAGGCCCTTATTGTACAAATATGTTAAAGTATAGTGCAAATTTATGAAAAAATATTCATTATGTTCTTTATTGTTGTGTAATCTTAGCTCATTCTTGACCATTAAATGCATTAAATCTCATGACTATTGAAGGCACTTTTTATACACACTTGCGTAAAGTAGGGTGATTGGATATAATTTATTATTTTGGTTTGATTTTATAAAGAGAGTTAATTTAAAAAAAAAAAAATTAATTGGGCGCAAATTTGAGTTGGATTTTCAAAATGTGTTTAGATTTTTGTTTAAAATGTAATAACTAAAGTTGATGTAATGTAAAAGTAGTAAAGTGATTATTGAAATGATATGCAATTAAAAATATGTAAATGAATGAATAAAGGATTTTGTTAGAGAATTATATTAAAATTAGTGAAAATTAAATAGAATTTAAGTTAAAAAATTATATCTAATTATAGTTGTGACCCAAAAAAATTATCCCTCAAAATTTTTTTTTTTTTTTCGAAATCATTTACCCGGTAATAATTGTGGTATTTTTGCGAAATCATTTACCCGGTAATAATTGTGGTAGTGATTTGTACGATGACGACCTTTGCGTGTTAAAAGAGTCAGTAAACTTAAATTCATTGGATTTAGATACAATTTCTATTGGAAAAAACAGTCGACATCAAAGTTTCACCATCCATCTCCTGGCCAATGCTACTTTTTGGTAGTGTGAAAATAATAAATATATATATATATATATATATATATATGTATTGCATTTTCTATATTACTTCTCGTCCACAACTAGAATTTGAGCTATGCGTTTTTTCACAAAGTTTTCAAAAAGTGCCGTATAGTGCGCTTTAAAGCGCGGTGTAGCACAAAATAGTAACAAATTAAAACACGACAATACGACATAACATTTATAATTTAGTAGTATTTGTATAAATATATATATATATATTGCATTATTTATTTTATTTTATATATTCCAAAATATTCATCCTGTGCAGCAAAATATGAGGTCACGTGCACAAGAATCTAGTAGCTAGACTATGTTGCCAGATGAGAAAAATGTCGGTCACAAACAATTGAAGTTTATTTAATTTAATGAGTAATGATATGGAGCCAACTGTTGGCTTCGTTATGGAGCCAACAACCAATGGACAGCTCCATGTGGGGCTGTCCCACATGAGTCTAATGTGGGACAGCCCTACATAGAGCTATCTCATTGGCTGTTGTTGGCTCTATAATAGAGCCAACAGTTGACTCATTAGCATTATTGTTTCAAATATATAGAAAATTCAAGAAAAAAAAGGATCGAAAGTGCAATTTGTTACTATTATTTTTAATGCATAAAATGATATGTGCAATTTTATCGCTATTTTTTTTTTTGGTGCTATATTGCAATTCGATTGAAATGTTTAATATTGTTTTTTTTTTTCTTTTTTTGGCGATTTGATGCAAAACCACGTTACTCGTGTATTTGTATACAGTATTTATTTTCTTTATTTTTATCAATAAAATATATTCATGTTCTCCATAAACAACAAACTAATAATAGGGGGAAAATATGAATATTGTTCCAACTTCCAAGTAGGTAATTAAGTAAGGCAAGGCAAAAGTAGGGATTAAATAGTGAAAACCATTTTAAGGTGTGGATTGGACTTTGCTGGTAAACAGTAATATGTTAATTAATTTATTTATTTTGATTTATTTTTATGGGATAACATATCTTGTTGGAAACCATTATTTCTTGATTTATGTGTGAATGTGTGTGTGTCACTGTCTATTTTTGCCCCTTTATTAACTCAATCTACGAATTAAAGGAGACTTTAATTTCAACTGTCATGTATAGTTTTAAATTTTTGGCCTTGGCAATAAATGGGGAGAAACTGAAAATGGTCATTTTTGTCTCCCCAAATGCACCTGCAGACTACCTTTAATGTGCAAAATTAAATAATAATAACTTTTTTTTTTGTTGAAACATATCAATGTGGTCCTTGCTTCTAAAGTTATATATAGATGTTTTATTATTATTATTATTATTATTTTGTCATTTTTCCATGTATGTTTGTTACAACATTTAGGTGGTTCTGGTCTTGTTCAATCTCATTGTCACAATCACTTGTAATTTTAGTCCTTGCAAAATAAAGAAGGTGAAAATAATCAAATATTGTGAGGAGAGATAAATTTCACCCACACTCATTTGAATTGTGAACTTCTAAATATAGTCATATTGGGTGAGTTTTATCCTACCACTATTTGCAATCGGATTTTTCGACATTGTGTTTGTTGATCCAACGGTAAAAACTCAATTACTGCACAATTATTATATTCTAAATAAGACTTTTAAAAATGCATTATAATAATAAAAATGGATATTTATGGGATTATTCCTATAGCAAAAGGGTCATACAAATTGCAAAAACAGATGAAAGAGTTCCTCCACGGGTTAGTTATTTGGGCCGAGGTTTAGTACACAACTAAAGAACGGGCCTAAACAAGATGGGCTGACTCTTAACAGGCCACTAATTGTAACATCCCAATTCAAGAATATGTAGACCATTTGCCCATCGGCCTCTTGGCCTTTCCCTGTCAAATGTCAGCTCAAAAATCAATTGGCAGGGAACGCCAATCCATTACACACCATTCTACCATCTACACCGCCTCATTCAATTTCCCTTTTTATCTGCTGCCTTGAGCCCTAATTTTCCCTCGAGACCTCTTTATTGAAACCCACGATTGATTAAGATTAAATACTCTTTCCTGTAGGTTCTATCGATTGCCAATAGGTCCGATGTCGGAGAAGTTTTCAGCCACGCTAAGAATTGGCGACTTGAACGATTACATAGCACCGTCGCAGGGGTGTGTGATTAAAACTGAGGTAGTTTAACTGATCTGATTCTCAACTGGGCTGCGTAGATATGAACGGAGTTTCACCCATTTCTGCAAAAACAGTGTTTTCTTGTTCGGACGAGTTTAGTAGTTAGCGGTGGTTCTGTGTGCGTAGTTCATGTTTTCATTTTACTTTGGTTTGACGATTGCGTGATTGTTCTTCGATTGATTGATCAATTTGCCTGTGCTGATTATCCATGGAAACTATGTGGGCTCTTATGAATGTTGGCAAACTGTGCGTTTGTTGTATGTATGTGGGTGCTTTTGTTGTTTTTTTTCTCATACTGTCGGTGCTAGTAATATGGGCCTATTTCAGAATGCAGGGAGAGCTAGGAATACTCCTAAAGCAACTCAAACCGAGCCTGTGAAGATCTCGCTCAAAGACTGTTTAGCGTGCAGGTAGAATAAAGTTTCAATTTATTATTTTGTGTGTGTGATTAAGGACAAAGAGTGGTGGGTTAATTAATGTTATTGCTTCTCATGCAGTGGATGCATAACATCTGCAGAGACTGTTATGCTTGAGAAGCAGAGTTTAGACGAGTTTCTTTCGAACCTCAACAAAGGAAAAGCTGTGATTGTGTCGATTTCTCCCCAGTCTAGAGCTTCTCTTGCTGTTCATTTCGGTCTTTCTCCCCTTCAGGTACAATGTTATATATAAATTAAAGGCTCATTTTGAATGATAGATTGTTGGTTCCCCTAATTTTGTGTATTTATGATGTAATCTGGATGATGCTGTCCCAGGTCTTTCGGAAACTTACGACATTGTTGAAGTCTTTGGGAGCGAAAGCCATATTTGATACCAGTAGCAGTCGAGATTTAACGCTTGTCGAGTCTTGTAATGAATTCCTAACGCGTTATAAACAAAACAATTCAGCCAATGATGAGAAGTCAAAATCATCTCTTCCTATGATTTCATCGGCTTGTCCAGGTATCTGATCATTTTTCTGAACTATTTTGTCCTCTGACAGATTTTGATTAAAGTTGTTTTCACCTGAATAACTGAGTCTCATTACAGTATATTTTCTTGAATGGCATATATGCACAACGGAATAGACGGTGCATGGGAGAAATGTTTAACCTGATTGTATCTAAGTTTCCACGGTATGCAATGCAGGTTGGATATGCTATGCTGAAAAGACTCTTGGATCTTATATTCTTCCATATATTTCTTCTGTAAAAAGTCCACAACAGACTATAGGAGCTACCATCAAGAATCACATATGGGAAGAGCTACATATCAGGTGATTTATCGTTTGCATCATTGCTAGGACATATGCTTGGTTATATTATTGAAATATTTTACGCAATCGGATGTCTTTTGATGAGGAAATATTGGGTTTCACATTCTTCTATATATATATATCTATATAAATAAAGACCTTAGCAATATCGCTTGAAACCATTGACAGAAGCCTGAGGCCCACTATTTATTAATTTTTATTCGCAATTACAAGTTTGTGAAATGATTGTTCCCCATGTATGATTTGAGTTCACTTGTAAATTGCTTTCTGCTCAGGGTTTTTCTGTAGTCAAAAGAGGACTGCTTTTTTAACATTGAAGACGTTATTAACTCGCGTGTTTGTGTATACAGGCCAGAGGAGATATATCATGTCACCGTAATGCCCTGTTATGATAAAAAGCTCGAGGCTGCTCGGGATGACTTTGTATTCCAAGTGGATTCTGATAGTGAGAGAGTTACAGAGGTTGACTCAGTATTGACAACTGGAGAGATTTTAGAACTAATTCAGGTATTTTTTTTAGTGATATTTATCTGCATCTGAATCTGTTAGGATTTTAAGTTTCATCTCCTTCTGCACTTTCTTGAAATAAGATCATTTTTTCCTCGTTGCAGATGAAATCGGTCGATTTTACAACCTTGGAAGAATCTCCAGTTGATAAACAGTAAGGGTCCTATTGTTTGTAAGCTATCATATTTAATAGGCTATGATAATTGATGGCCGAGGACTGATATAGTGCTTATACTTCATATCTTTCCATAGATTGTCAAATGTAGACGAAGATGACAATCTCTATGGTGTCCGTGGAAGCTCCGGTGGTTATGCCGACACAATATTCCGGCAGGCTGCAAAAGTGCTTTTCGAGAAGGAAATTGAAGGTCCCCTTGAGTATAAGACGATAAAGAATGCTGATTTTCGTGAAGTGACTCTTGAAGTAAGTTATATCTCTCTCGAGTTAATTAAGACTAACGATTATCAATTTGTTCAATTATTTAAATCTTGTGCATTGCAGGTAGATGGTAAAACTGTGCTTAGAGTTGCACAGTGTTACGGTTTTAGGAATCTGCGCAACATTGTCACAAAAATAAAATCAAGAAAGTGCGAATATCATTTTCTGGAGATTATGGCATGCCCTTCAGGTAGCATTTTTTTTTTTAAATATATACTATATACCTGCATATTTTACGAGCCTCAATCAAATGGATAATGTTTATTCACTCGTCATATTTGCACCCTTTTTTTTCCTAGGATGCCTCAATGGTGGAGGTCAAATCAAACCCAAACCCGGCCAATCTGCTAAAGATTTGATCCAGCTTTTGGAAACAGCATATTCTGAAAACGTAAGTCTAATAACCGAAAATCGTGCCCTTCTCATATACAGATAGATTCAGAAACAAAATTTGCTTATATTCGTCTCAATCTTCTTCTATTAGGTAAAAGTGGCTGATCCTTTTCAAAACCCTCGAATCAAAAGATTGTACAATGAGTGGCTCGGTCAACCGGGTTCAGAGGTAGCCAAAAGACATCTTCACACTGAATATCACCCAGTCGTGAAGAGCATCTCCTCTGAGCTGCAAAACTGGTGAGAGTTTTGCTTGTTATTTTTGGCTGATGGTTTTTTCGGTTAATGCTTTGTTGTATATGGCAATAAGATTTCTCTTTTCACACACAAGTTGTATCTTTTACAGTGATTGTGTATCTCTGCATATTTTTTCTGTAGGCAGGTTGAATGTTTTGTTTTCTCTATAGGAATCCAATTTTGTTAGGATGTGTTTTTGGTGTAGAATTTTGTTTAGCTGGTCGTACACATGTTGTGTGTGCTTGTTCGATTTTTTTTTTTCGTGTTTATGTTGGTTGAAGAAAAGATGATGTTTGAACAGACATAGATAGAACTCCATGCTCTCTGCTCTGTTTAACACCTACAGGGAAGATCTAACTATGTAAAGATGACTATTCTCATAATGGGATATATTCTGTCTCTTGTTTATACAGTTCTTGAGACATTTGTTATGTGTATTCGAAACAACCTTGAAGTGATAAATATGTAGTTTTTTTTTTTTTTTGGCCTTTTTTTTTT